TGTTGTTGTTGTTGTTGTTGTTGCTGCTGCTGTTGTTGATGTTAGTAACGCAGTAATTAGTATTATGATGACATTTCGGCTCGTACAATACGGCGATTCGGCAAAATCAGCGCTTCAGACTCGTAAAATCAATGGACAGAACACGTTCGTTTATAAATGATAAAGCGCCATAGTTGAAGCAGCGCAGCGATTTATGAAAATAAAGATCGAGTAGTACAGAATGATATTGAAGAAACAGAAAGAGAAAGAAATTTGAACGTTTCGCCACCCAATTTTTAACTTCCGGTTATTCACAATCCCACCTTTTCGAACGCTCGCTCACTTTTTTTTCTCTTAATTCCATCATAATATCAAACGTCCTGATTCGCATAACTGATAATTCGTGTCCAGTTTGGCGCCAAGTTTCTACTTTAAGACCAACTATTTTCATCCGTCTCGTGTTGTTATTTACGTTTTTTTTATTTTTTATTTTTTGTGCTTTACTCGTCACCAAATACGCTTAGGTTGAAGACAAACTTTCAATTCTCTTGACGGAAACTACTATCAAAGAATACAAGTCGCTCTTATTTGGAATGACGCGGCTGATGACGCTCCAAAATTAAGGAACTTGACATCATAATATTCCTCCATGCTTGAATTTCACTTTCAATGGGTTTTTCTTTACTTTTGATTCATTAATCAATGAGAAGTAGGAGTATGAGTATATTGGAATGTATTTTATATGTTTGTCTATCGTGATAAATGTTTCTTTGGCGATAGGCTGAGAAAGATAATGTATTAATAGTATTTCAAACCGAATAATTTCAACTAAATGCCGTTATTGTCTTTATGTTTATTAACTTCCAGGGGGTATTTTACACAACTGTCGTTACCTAAAGCAATACAATAACTATACATTTTATTTATTTTTATGAGTTTTCTGCTTTTAACGAGCGCGAATTGTTACATCCATTTGTTTATATAAAGCTATCATATTAGAAAAAAAAATATCAAGTAAATAATTACTTTCAAGTATAAAGCTTTTATTATTTACTTTGTCCATTTATTTGCCAACGCTCATTTATCTATTTTAGATTTTTTAATAATGTTGTCCGATATATTTTCTTTAAATGAGAAAAAGTTATGATCTTGACAAATTCTGATTATAAAACTGAAATGAGTGTACATTGCTGAAACACTCTATTCATTGCAATTACAAACGTATTTGTCACATTGTTGTCTAAATTACACATTTAAACAATTGTATAATAAATAATAAGGGTGAGTAAACGAAACTTTTGTAAACAACGAATATTCAATTAATCTTGATACTCTAATTGATACTCTAATAATGATTGAAACATTTATAAAATTAAATCAATACAATAATTAATCAATGCTACTTAATGTATTGTTGTGCTCAGACTAAAGAAATGATCGAGTTGATTGAGCGAAGAAAAGTTTTTCGAAAATAAATGGAAATAACAATATATTCGTATTAACACATTTATGAAAAAAAAAAAATAAACAAAAAAAAAATTAATTAAGCCTATCGTCATTTGTTCATTGAAATTGACGCGATGAAGAAATATCAGTAAAAATCCTACAAACGTAATGAAGAATTGTTATATCGTATTATTATAAAGTGTAAATTACCAATACTGTAGGATTTTAAATTTGTGTTACGAAAGCACGTAGGGTAAAATAAATTCAACCATCCTTTTCAAGTACCAAGTAAGTACTAATGCGCGGAAAATAAATTCGAACATCGATTCTCCTATTAAATTATTCGATACGGACGCGCCGTTCGTTCTGAGAGCAAAGCTTTTTCCCTCCATTGTATTACGCGTTGGACTAATTTGTAAGTCCGCGAATTGTACGTATGTTCACATATTTCATGCATACGTTACGTACACATCCCCCGCCACCATGCAGAGGCAGAGAGAGAGAGAGAGAGAGAGAGAGAGAGAGAGAGAGAGCGAGATCGTTATACGATCGATGTATGGCGTTTTCGTCAGTGGGGGCTGAATGTGGACGAGGTAAACGAATTATCGAAATGCCAACGTCGAAATATCCATTGGCGGCTACATCACGCATAGTGTACGGTACTTCCGCGAGTTTTAGAGTGAGATTTTCATTCTTGGCTACGGATGTGTTTTAGATCAATAAACTCGCTCACTCTAACCGAAGATAACGGTTGAAAAATTTGCGAAAATCATAGTTTGATTTATTTTCAATTGTCATTCTCAAATGACTATTCGTACGAGCGTGTCCCGTTGTACAAATGTCGCGCCAAGCACAGAAATTTATTCGAAATAAATAATTCTATTATATAATTCTATTCTTTCGTTGCACAATTATATTGGATACTCGTTTATATTAAAATTTACAGCTTTATTTTTCAGCTGCTGAATAATTAGCAATTATATTGCAAATATTGTTAGATATTTTGTACGATATTTAGCGTAAAAAAGCGTACTACTGCGGCATGTGGTTTATTGTATAAAAAAAAAAAAAAAAAGAAAAAAAGAAAAGAAAAAAAAGGATCGTTTACTCTATATAGAAAAGAATGCGTTGTGAAATGATCGTTCCTTACGGTCAAAGCTCCGTTCCGAATTTCCTCCGTTAAATTTTATAATACATTATCCGCAAATACTTGTGAATACAAATTCAAATTTACTAACTGCGCTTTTAATTTACATAATAAAAAAATTATCCACTGCGAATTACCTTTGTTATGGCAATTTTATTGTATACGAGAGCTCTAGAGAAAAAAGAGACGGAATTAGTGGGCGTGACGCATGCGCATAGGAAACATTGTGCAACTCTCGTGACTTTCGAGCTCGCGAATCTTTGACGAATACCATACGAGAAAAGAAAAAAATGGCTTTGCTTTTGTGCAAATATAATTTACTTCAGAAATGTTATTTTTGATTGATTGTCTTGCAACGGTATTTTACTTCATATATTTACTTGCGAATAATATTTTTTGCCCGCGATAATAGTCACTCAACAATATCAAATAGAGAACTAATTTTTTTTTAATAAATAAATAAAAAAATTATCATTTACACAACAGTATGGAATTATTATTGATTTATTTTACCAAACTGCAATCCCTAATATTCTTCATCTATATATATATATATATATATATATATATATATATTATGTTTAGCAATAATTATTGTAGCGTCATTTATGTTTTTATTTCATTTTTAAAAATTAAACTATAGATAAGTTACGTTACTTGCTAAAATTAACGTGCATTTTTTCATCTCTTCCAAATTATAATTCGATAAACGATCTAATAATTGTATAAAATTGCTAAATAAAAATATAATTTCCCAAGTAAAAAAAAAAATAACTGCCTCTCGCAAGTTCTTCTTCACAGAATCTTTTTATTCTTCTAATAACCCCTAACTGCCTTAAATAATCCAAGAATAAATAAGATTCGCGTGATAAGTTGAGTAGGTTTTTAACGACGCGATAATATTTCCAAGCTCGGCAACTAAAACACGTCTTCTGTGCTGAAAATTATTTAATAAACTGTTGCGCTACGAGCTAGCAGCCTTTATAACGAGGGCAGCCAACATCAGCCAATTGTCGAATATGTAATCGTCGGCGGCGTAGTGGTGTTTTTCTCAAACATTCTTCACTTATTCACGCATCGGTCACATTATGCGGCAAACGAATCAAACGCGCTTTTATCGATATGCAAATAAGTCGTTGTGCATTGTAATGTAAAAACTGCACGATGGTACGCTGCTACTCTATCAATACGACCCGCTAATTAAAAAAACATGGCTTGCGAAAACAGCCGAACCACTCCTCGATCAAATCCGCGTTATCGCACTCCATAATCCGCAAAACAAAGCTTAAAAATTCCACTCTTCTTAAGACTCTCTCTCTCTCTCTCTCTCCCTCCATCTACCAAGCTTCTTTCGTAGGCCTCATTAAGGATCGGCAGCGAAGTCTCAGGAGTTAATCTCTCCCGTATTCTCCATCTCTCAACGGACGCGCAATTACATTCGACTCCCTTGAGTTGCGCGAAAGAGGCTGCCGCCGCCGCCGCCGCTGCCGCCGCCGCCACTCTCCTCCGCACGAGCGAAGAAGCATCGCTCAAGAGGAATAGAGAGCGCGGGAGGGCCAAGGGAAGAGAGAAAGAGAGCCCTAGGCACTCCAATGGCGCTACCACCTAAGTATCATACGATATATACTGACATGTACAAATACGTACGGAGCATTACATGTCAAGTGCGCTTCTGGCGTCGGGTAGATTTGATATAGAGCACCGGTGTATATATCAGACGCCGAGAAATTACCGAGTCATGATGTGCTCGCAATAAGCATTTATATCAATAGTTAATGAGCATTTCGCTTCCACTCGAAATTTCCTTATTTACCAATAAACATAAATTCTAGGCACTGTTATTGGCCATTATTAATCGCGGCAGAAAAAGATTTCTGACTTCGCACCTACTCATTGGCACTTGTGATTAATGCTTCCTCGGGCAATCATGGCAATATTATTATTTACTCGGTATTCGCAATGAAACGCGCCTCGAATGAAAAAAGTTCCCATTGGCGAATCGGCCATCCGATGCCCTTTGATCGCCCGGCCCTCTAACCCTACCACTTTCTAATCCTCGTGATGAAGCGAATCCCATTACAACCGTTGATTTACGTTCTACAGCGATATTCAGCTAGTCGTGGAAGAAAAGTGGATAGGACGAACCATTCTTCGGCCCAAAGATCTTCACTCCGGTAAACCCGACGTTACCTCACTTAATGACAGTTTCTCACGTGAGCAAACATTTTCACGCGGCATGAACATTGCCGGTCCAATGTTGGCCGGGACTCGGCCACTTATTAATCTCGCGGGAGGCTCTCGAGCTTCGTCGAGCCCTTGCTTTACAGGCGCAATTTCCGCGCACTCGGTGAAAAATGAGGCTGCCGCCTGTCGGGGGCCAATGAGGGAAAATATTGCGTGACTCACCGTTGGCACGAGCCTGGGGCATCGCGACCAGCGCCAGCAGCATCAGCAGCATCGGCAACGGGAGCGCCATAGTCCTCGTCCTTGGGGCGACGGCTACGGCGGCGGCGAGCCTCCCCTTCGGCCACGCCGCACCACCGCCACTACCGCCATCACTCAGCATCCTGCAACACAAAGATACGCCTTAGCATACGTGCGAGCCTTTCAATCGCACATAAACGCGCTTATGGGTGCCCGCATCTAGCACAAAGAGAGCCCCAGCCATATAAATATTACCGCTCGGCGATATTGCCGGCAAGCATGTGAGTTGGTCGATGAGATGCCGCGAGTGGGGTAGTAGTTGGGAAGGGAGGAGGAGTACGGTGGAATGGTTGTTGGCTTATGCGGTGTGGAGGGAGAGAGGGAGGAAGAAGAAGGACCGAGTTGAAGATACAATTGAACGAAATGGAAAACAAAATTGAATGAACATGGTTGTTAAAAAAAAAAAAAAAAAAAAAAAAAAAAAAGTTGGGGAGGGAGCGCGCAGAGAGAGAGAGAGAGAGAGAGAGAGAAAGAGAGAGAGGGAGAGAGTGATGGAAGGGAGAAATATGAAGGGTGTGCGAAGATAAGAAACGTGTAAGAGTGAGAAGGGTGGGACAATTAAGTGAAATGGACGATAAAATTGAATGAGTTGGTTAAAAAGATAATGGACGGCTCGAATAGTGAGAGAGAAAGAGAGAGGGAGAGGGAGACACAGAGAGAAAAAGAGAGAGAGAGAGAGAGAGAGAGAGTGATGGGGGAAGGGAGGAAATGAGAGTCAAGATATGCTCAGAAATATTGATAAAACTGAAAAGAGATTGATGACTCTATTGAATACTTCATTTTACGCTCATCTTGATTAAAGCAAAATATTACAATGACTTAATGAACTGATTATTATCTACTGTGGATATTGGTTATTTTTAACTGCTTTAAATGTGCTACGTAAAAGCGTCATTTAGTTTCAAATGGAATTTATCGAAGTAAAGCTAATTAAGTATATGAATTTACTCGACTTGTCGTAAATTATAATATTCAAAATAAATATTGAGGCTTTTCGATGGTGAAAAAACATTGCCAACGTATAGCCAGTCAAATATACCACGTGGTAAGCAATTTTGTTGAGCAATAATAATAAGAACGATGATAAGGTTAACGATAGTGGCAATGAATTTTCATTTTATATTTGTCACTGTAACATGAAACAAGTAAACGTATACACCTTAACGTATAAGTATGAATTATGATATCAATTTCGAAATTGCTTCGTGCGTCCGCAAACAAACATAAAAAATTCCCAACGCGCCGAATCCAATGTCTCAATAACCCCTCAACACCCCCTCTTTACACCTTCAAATTAAAGCCCATCAATCGTCGTCTCTATCTATTGGCCCTTGATATAAAGCACAGTGGAGGAGCGTCGCGTGAAATAAATTTGCCGTTTTATTAGCAACTCTAAATCACATTGGACAATTCGACGAAACCATATATGCACCGGCGGTACTCGTGCGAAAAAGAGAAAGGACGCAATAATGCGACGGCGACCCGATGAAGGGAGAGAAAAAATTTATCAGCCGCAAATTCGTAATTGAATGTTTAAGCAGAGCAAACCCTCGACTCCAGCCTAACGTTTTATATCTGACATTTTCATTTGTTCCTTCGCACGCTGCCTAGATATGATTTGTCTCGTGCTCCTCCTTTTTACTTTCCCCATCTTTCGTCATTCAAAACTGCGGACGCGCATTTATTAAACTACGATTGAATTTATGATTGTCACTCGATAATCAGGGTAGAATTTTTTTTTTTTTTTTTAATTAGTTTTCAGAGAGCTATATCATTGGCCTTGATCCGGCAGGAAACGAGTGATAAAATCGCCGTGCCGATAACTTTTTCGACACCCTCCAAATATAGCGTCAGTTAAAAAAAAAAATAAAAAAATAATAATAATAAAAAGAAAAAAGAAAAAAAGCAGCACGCATCGCAAAATTGACTCGACACATGAATTGCATTATATATAGTGATTTAAATTTAAATTTTAACTATGGATTTCGAATGGAATATGCAAGGTGCGAGTAGACATTCAGTTAATATAAAACAGTTTTATGGCTGCATATTCGAATAATGGTCTAATTGCAAGATCTCGTAAACCAATGGGCAAATAGGCCAAAGTGCCGAATAGTTTTGATCTTGAAACAGGTGTGGTTTATAAAAAAAAATTATATACATGAGGTAAAAATCACTTGGATTTCAAAAGTAAGGCAGGCGATTATTAAGGCAGGTAAGCGGCGTCCCTGATTAGTCGTAGAAGAAAAAAATTTTTTATAGCACATAGAGCAATGTTGAACAATAAATGAGTATTCACAGAGCTATCGGGAGCACATTTTCATACGATTGTGCGCTTATGAAGTATAAACGAGCGCATCGCAACGGGACGAATGAATTTTAGATTTCCCGAGTACGTGCCGCGGCCGCAGTAACATCCCTTCTAAGCACACAATTTTCTTCGCCTTATTATTATTAATTAATCGGCCTGAATACACTCCATAAATCTAGAATGCGACAGTACGGAGGCTGAAGAAATGGCGAACCGCTGGGCAATTTCATCTTCATCCGCGAATATATCATTATCGTCGGTTGCAGCGCAGGAGCTTAGAAGCAGACGAATTGGCCGAGCGAATCGCTAATTGGCAAATCCCGGGGTGTAGTTAGTTGGAACTGCCTTCGTAGGAGCTAGCGCCGCCGTCCCCGCCGTCCCCGCCTTACCTCGTGTTTGCCCATTTTCGCGCCGAGCGAACAAAGCATCGCAGCCCCGGACAGGTAAATACACACGAGTTGTTCCGACCGCAATAATATTATCCCAATTCCGATTATTTGCACTATCATTTAATGGGGCAATGCGATTATCGTTTGTTTGCGGAGATGGGACCGAGAGGATGGTGGAGAGCACGTGTCAACCGCCCCGAATAATACGTCCTATGTGTACGTGTCGGAGTGATGGAAAAACAAAACAATACAAAACGAAACAAAACAAAAAAAAAAAAAAAAAGAATGAATGAAAGAAAGAAAAAAGAACGGCCTTACGGCTGCTCGAGCATGATAGTTTTGCGAGAGGTTGCCCTTCGACCGCCCCCGTACTGCTGAGAGCGATGTAAATTTATTTAGCCACTGTTTTTATCTCGATCGTGGCAAACGCGAAATCGTCATTGACTCGAAGAGCCCGCGGGAGGAAATTGTTTCAAGACTTACAGTGTTTTGCACGATCGTGGAGCGTAATGCTTTACCGTTACGAGTGTGACATTATAAAATGAGAAAAGTTTGGGGAGAGATAAGAGAGAAGCTACGTGTAACGTGTTTTTGCCCATGAATTAAGCTTTAAAAGCTCCGCGTGATTTTCTTACTCGCGTATTGTTTATCGGTAGCGAGCTTTTTCTTCAATTAAAAATGTTCTTTGGCTATTGGCAAGATTATGAGACTAACGTCCTTTAAATCCGTCAATTTTCTAAATTAAAATAGTTTTCCAAACTCCGAGCTGCTAAAGCACAGATATTACTGTGAATGTACCATGAGATTTTCCGTATATTTTTCAACTTTGATCACAACAAGATTTGTCCGTTGTGCATCTGTTGTCTGCTATTTCATTTAATTTCACACTTTTTGCAAATAATGGTCAAAGATTTTGTCTACAGTAAATTATGTACATAATTATGTAAATAAAAGTTTATAGATAATATTGATTGATGTATTGATTAAGATAAAAAAAAAAAAAAAAAAAAAAAAAAAAAAAAAAGAAGAACCCTTTTTGAAGTATATGAAATATCGAATCATACACTCTGACTAAATGAAGAAGGATGCAAGAGGATATTCCGATTTAGCAGTAAATACATAAGCATTTCATTATCATGGAATGTGCAATTTAGTATTCATACTTGAGCATTTCGAAAGATCTTTTTAATTGCTATTTTAATTTAATTTTTTGTTTCTCGTTCACCGTAAAAATAAATGAGATTTTTAATAAAATAACTGAAATAAGCTTTTCTAAAAACTTCGATATGAGATATTATTGATTCATGAAAAATAAACTGAAATTTTTTTGATAGTCTGACCCTATTTACAAGAATTAATACCCCAACTAGGTAAATGCATTACTTCTAAATTATTTTATATAAACGTTATACAGGAAATTTAATTAATAGTTTTTTCTACCACAAATATATTTTATATTGAAACTATATTGCTTATGAAATATATGTATATGTGTGCGCGCGCGCGCGTGTGTGTGTGCAAGCATATGTGTTTGCGGGTGCGTGAGTGCGTGCGAGGGCGTCTACACACATATATGATTTCCATATGTTGTGAGGAATTAATATCGTTAATAAATAAACTGATCATACTTCGAGTCCAATACAACGTGTTGTTCGCAACATGAATTTCGTTTCGAAATTCGTTAACTGTCAAAGCACGCAAGATATTTGAACAATTTTGATAAAAGTTTTAGTTGAAAGTTTATATAATATTTTTAAATTGAAAAAATAAATTTAAACGACTAAATCATATAGAGGACGTGCTCAAGCTACATAAATACATCGTGTCTTATAAGTAACAGGCGAAATACAAAATGTAAAAGACAGAATGTATAGATCATATCGGGATGCTTGTATTAACGACATTGAGAAAAAAAGAAATATAAACTTTATCGAAATCCAATGATGGATGTAAAAACATTACAATTTTTATTAATGAAAATTGGCACGAACATGGTGGCAACAGCCTTAAAAATTCCAAAAACATAAACATAGGTCACGGTAAAGATAAATATTTTAATTGATTGATTAAAAATCGAAAACTCGGTATGTAATATTCTACGATAAAATCTCCAATGAATTCGATTCGCGAGCATTAGATTTTTATATGTCATTCCCACGTCTATTTTCTGATTCCTATTCCATTAGCGAAGAAACAATTTTCATACACTAGAATCAAGTCGCGCATATTATTATTATTTATTGTTAAAAATTACATAAGAAAAGAGACGATGTGCGCCAGGTCGACTGGATATCATGACAAAATTCAAAGGAAAGAAGGTACAGTGCTTAACGATGAGAATAGAATTTCTCGTCGATCTTCTCGACTCGGGGGTTAGGGAGG